GGACACTAGAGACTCACTAAAGGAAAGATCCACCAAGATGATATTGCAATCCTAATCATTTATGCACCAAACACAAGGGCACTCACATTCATAAAAGAAACATTACCACAGCTAAAATCACATATTGACCCTCACACAATGATAGTGGATGACTTCAATACCCTACTCTTGCCAATAAACAGGTCATCCAGACAAAAACTAAACAGATGAATGCTGGAGTTAAATAATGTCATAAATCAAAAGGATATCTACAAAACACTTAACCCAAACACTAAAGAATATATTTTCTTCTCAGGAGCTCATGGAGCTTTCTCCAAAATTGATGGCATACTAGGATACATTGTAAGTCCCAACAAATGTAAAAAAAAAAAATTGAAATACCACCCTGTATTCTGTTTGAACACCATGGATTAAATTGGATATCAACAACAGCAGAAATTATATGAAGTCATGGAAACTGAACAACTCATTACAGAATGAAAAATGGGTCAAGACAGAAGTCAACTGGAAACTAAACCTTTTTGAATTCAATGAAAATGAAAACACAGCATACCCAATCCTATGGGATACAATGAAGGCAGTTCTAAGAGGCAAGTTCACAGCACCAAGTGCCTACTTGAAAAAAGTTTGAGAGTTCTCATATTTGTAACTTAACCACACATCTGCAATCTCTAGAATAAGAAAAGTTAATAACCCCAAAGAATAGATAGAAAGAAATGAATTCAGGGCTTAAATCACTTAACTAGAAATAAAACAAACAAAAAATGTTGTGGAATATTATTTTGAGATGTGTTACTTTTGTTGTATTTGTTTAACTCTGTGAAGCTGTGATACTTTGCCTGTCTAAAACATCTGATGGTCTAATGAAGAGCTGAACAGCCAATAGCAAGGCAGGAGAAAGGACAAGTGGGGCTAGCAGGCAGAGAGAATAAATAGAAGAAGAAACCTGGGAGAAAAAGAAGGAGGAGCAAGAGAATAAGGAGGAGGACACCAGGGGCCAGCCATCCAAACACCCAGCCAGCCATGGAGTAAGAGTGACAGTGAGATTACAGGAGTAAGAAAAGGAAGAAGCCCAGAGGCAAAAGGTAGATAGAATAATTTAAGTTAAGAAAAGCTGGCTAGCAACGTGCCAAGCTAAGGCCAGGCATTTATAATTAAGAATAAGCCTCTGTGTGTGATTTATTTGGGAGCAGGGTGGTGGGCCCCCCAGAAGAGCAAAAACAACAACAACAACAAAAATACAAAGACTCAATGAAGAAACAAAGAATTGGTTTTCGAAGCTTGAAGAAAATCAATAAGATTAACAAAGCCTTAGCCAAATCAACTAAAAGACAAAGAGAGAAGATCTTGGGATAACTCCAAGCAAGGAAATGAAAGATTTGTATAATAAACACTTTAATGTGTTGAAGGAAGAAATTGAAGAGGACATCAGAAGATGGAACATTCTTCCATGCTCATGGATCAATAGGATTAATATTGTGAAAATGGCCATCCTACCAATAGCAATTCTTAATAAAAAAGAGTAAGTTCAAGATTACTGTATATATTCTGAGGTGTGTGTGTGTATGTGTGTGTGTGTATGTGTGTGTGTGTGTGTCCATATGAAGCTGGAGGTTTTTATTTTCAATTTCTGTGAAGAATTGTATTAGATTTTGATGGAGATTGTGTTGAATATATAGTACACACTAGAGAAAAGACAGCATCTTCAACAAATGGTACTAGTCAAACTGGATGGCTGCATGTAGAAGAATGAAAATAGATCCCTGTCTATCACTCTGCAGAAAACTACAAATGGATCAAGGACCTCAATGTAAGATCCAGTATCCTGAATTTGACAGAAGAGAAAGTGGAGAAATAGTCTTGAACTTATTGTCACAGAGGAAGACTTTCTGTTCAGGACACTGGTAAATAAATGTGACCTCATGAAGCTGAAAAACTTCTATATGGTAAAAGACATCATCATTTGGGCAAAGCAGCAGCCTATAGAATGGGAAAAGATTTTTACCAATTAGACATCTGATGGAGAATTAGTATCTAAAATAAATAAAGAAAAAACTGAACACCAAGAAGACAAATAGTCCAATTCAAAAGTGGGGCACATAACTAATCAGAGAGCTCTCAAAAAATGAAACACAAATGTCTGAGAAACCTTTAAAGACATGTTCAACACCCTTAGCCATCAAGGAAATGCAAAATGCAAATTAAAAGTACTTTGAGATTTTATCTTATACTAGTCAGAATGGCCAAGATCAATAAAATAAAGCACCTGCTGTCAGTGATGCAGGGAAAGGGCAACACTTATTTATTGTGGATGAGAGTGCAAACTTGTCTAGCAACTATGGAAATCAGTGAGGTGGTTTCCCAGGAAGCTAGAAATCAATGTGCCTCAAGATCCGGCTAAACTATTCTTGGATATATACCCAAAGGATCCTACATCCTATTACAGAAATACTTGCTCATTCATGTTCATTGCTGCTGTATTCATAACAGCTAGAAACTGGAAATAGCCTGGATGTTCACCAACTGATGAATGGATAATGAAAATGTGATACATTTACACAATGGAATATTATTCAGCTATTAAAAAATCATAACATTCTCAGGTAAATGGATGGAGCTAGAAAAAAATCATCTCAAGTGAGGTAACATAGATCCCAAAAGATGAATATTATGTTTTCTTTCATATTATATGTTAGCTTTTAAGCTTTCAATACGTGTGCTATAATCCAAACAACCATAGAGGTTAGATATCAAGTATGGGACTAGGGGAAGGAGAGGCTCTCCCAAGGAAGAAGGGATAGAATACATTGTTAACGGAGAGACAAAGGGGTAACTAGGAGGATTAAATTGGGAGGGGATGAGAGAGAGACGGGTAAAGGAGGGACTATGGGGAGGGACAACTAATATTAAAGGACTTCTGGAGAACCAGGATGGAGACCTACTACTGTAGAAGCTTCCTGAAATGCACACATATGTGAAAGGAATCTAAATGGAGTTACCAAATAATAGGGGAGACAACTAGAGATCTTATGCCACGAAGTAACACCTCCAGTGCCAGGAGTGGGTGATATCTTGTTGAGCTCTTGGCCAAAGGGGCCCCATGGAAACCCCCACACATCACAAGCTATTTTCAATGCTACGGATTACTCTCCATTACCTGACAGTAAGGCTCTATTGCTGAAGATAACATCTACTTCTATCATCAGACATGGAAGAGCTGAGCTAGTGTCTAATTAGAAGCTTTACCTTTACTGATTAGCTGTCATGGTACTAAGATACTCTCCATGAAACCATAAGAGAAAGGTCATCATCAATATTACCCAGCTACAAAACCTGTGACTTATGACAGTGACCTGCCTGTATGACATACTAGTTTAATAGTGGCACAAGTGTTATAGGAGCAGCTAACCGCTTTGTGATTCCATGAGATGGAACTCATACCTACAGTGCTAAAGTGGCTAAGAGCCTCAAACTGCCATGTAATGGGCCCAGGGGGAAACCTACTCTTATTATTCTGATAAGGGAACACAGCAATAAAATGACTCCTAATGACATCTGGCTATACCCATAGATCATTGCCTTGCCCAACCCACATCAGAGAAGCTTTTTGTAGTAGATGGGAGTTAACACAGAGACCTGCAAGTGCACAATGTGAAGAAAGTGACAGACATTGGAACATTCAGTCCTAAATAGCATGTTTTGATTGAACTCCTCCCCACAAGGCTCAGGGAGGTATGAGGAAGAGGAGGCAGAAACAGTGTAAGAGGTGATGGATGACTCCAAGGAAACAGTGACTTCCAGGCACAATAGGACTGATGTACATGTGAACTCATGCAGACTGGCAGCACACACAAGATTTTCACAGGTTCAAGCCAGAAGTAGTTCCAGCACTGAGGGGGGATGTGGTCATGGGCTCCTATTTTGCTTTGTTTTGGCTTTTTTTGGGGTGGTGGTGGATCTTATTTGTGTTTTGATTGTTTGATTTCCATTTTTGTGTTTCTTACTTTTTATTTTTGAAGGATAAAAAAAGAACATAAAGTTGGGTGGATAGGGAGGTGGGGAGGATATAGGAGCAATTGGGGGAGAGGAAAATATGATACAAATATATTGAATGAAGATTTTTTTCAATTAAAAAAGAGTTTTAAAAAAGGAGAGCGCCATTTAACAAGAGAAATGCCTGATACAATCATTGAGCACTCATAATACCCTCTGTCAGGTATATGTATGATGGTAGTGAGCTTGACTGAATTAAAATTTCCCAAATGGCAGTGATTTTCATTTTTGCAGTTTTTTGCAGGTCCATTTCTTGTACTAGTATTTTTAAAAAAAAACTGACTAGATTAGATTTAGATTAATCTTTCCATATAATTCTTTGAAAATTTCATGCATTCATATAATATATTTTGGTCATATTCACCTACCCTATCTCTCTCAATTTCTTATTTTATTTTTAATGATAATTTGCTGTGTTCAATCTGTGCTGCATATATATATATATATATATATATATATATAGAGAGAGAGAGAGAGAGAGAGAGAGAGCCACCCACTGCAGCACGGTTGACCAAAGGGGGTCCAATCCTTAAAGGAAACCGACTCTCCCTTCCCTAGCAGCAGTCAACTGTCAATAGATCCTCATAAGCCCTACCCTCCAAAGGGACATTCATCTTAGGGCTGCGTGATATTTTCATATTCCTAAGTTTTTATCACCTAGCTCAAAATACAGAGCCAATACTTCAGAGACTCTGTCCTGTTCCTTCTCAGTCAATACCCTCCTCCCACCAGGAAACCACCGTTCTTATTTCAATAATATAAATTAATATTGAGCTGCGCAGAAAACCTTACGTTTCCTGCTTAATATTTATACCCTCCCGGCCTTTTTTCAACTTTCTATTGACCTAAGAAATAACATCTGTCAAAATGGTTTGGCATGATAGGCGTGTTTTCCCTTAATAACACACTCACTGTACTATGTAACTATTAGAAGTTTCTTCTTGTACCAATTAATATACTCTCTTGGTCACCGTTGGGCACATTGTCCATACTTTGTTTTTCCGAAGCCGCTTTCTGAAGCCCATGGCAACTCAAAGGCAATGGTTTTGTGGTGATGGAGTAGCTCAAAGTCACAAGATACGCTGCGATAATTTTCATCCGGCCAACGGGCCATTCACCCATCCAACGCACTTGTTGAGTACCTAGCATTCGCTCCACCTTGGATACTAAGAAGACCTCATTTCTTGGTTGGAAGCGAAACACAAGAGCACATTTTGTCAATGTGTAGTGAGTGCTCCGACTTAGGTAAGCACCAGGCGCACGGAGGATGGGCGGCTTCCGGAGATGGGGCGGATAGGAGAAGGTGGGTGGGCATTTCCCCAGCAGCTGTTGCCAGCCACCCGACTTTGATCACTTTGCCGCCTGGCAGCAGTGGCGGTCAACCTCATCGTTCCCTAGCAACCGGAGCCAACAGCCAGAAAGTCTTGCTATTGGGCTCACGCAGTGTGATGGGCAGCCGAGTGGTCTAATAGTAATTTTTAGGCTTGGCCGGTGGCCCCGCCTACTCCCAGTCCGCAGGCAGCGCATGCGCGGGTGGGCAGGGCTGTGTGCAGGGCGGTCGAGGAGCCGGAGCAGCCGCTGCTAAGTGTTTGGGCTCGGTCGACACCGCGGTGCTTGCTCCTCGCCCCAGCCGCCGCCGCCGAGGGAGCGGCCGCCTATTGTCCTTCTCCGGCGCCAAGGCGCGGAGCTGCTCCGGCTCGGCCCGCGGGGGAGCCCGGGGAGCCGCACGGTGAGAGCGCAACTTAGTTGCGGGAGTTGAGGGAAGTTTTGGGCGTCTGAGGAGGGGGCGCGCGCGCAGCCGCCCCTCCCCCTCGGCTGCCCTCGGCCGCGCGCGCGCGCGCGCGAAGCTGCGGGGGGGGGGCGCGCGGGCTCGACGCGGGTGGCGGACCCTCCTCCCGTAGCATCCGCGGCCGGCCGGGGGTGGGTGGCGCGGCCGCCGATCCCAGCCTCCTCGATCCGCGTTCTCCGGCTGCCAGCTTCAGTGGCTCCTGCTGGGGCTTTCCTCTGAGGGACGGGAGCTCGGTGGGGCGCGCCGCCCCGACAGTCTGTGGCTACGGGAACGAGCTCCCCGGGGCAGTGGAGCAGGGTAAACACTGCGCGCCCCGGCTGCCTTCGGGGGCTTCTTGGGCGCTTTCTCCCGGAGGGGCGCGGCCGACGCTCCGGGACCCGTGCATTCGGCTCCGCAGCCACCGAGCCCTGGCGCAGCCAGCCGCTCGCGCTTTCAGACCCGGCCAGTCGCTGCTTTTGCTAACTAGGACTCGCGAGACGCATAAAACTGTCGGGGAAGGGGGGGGGGGACCCTCAGTTTTCATCTCGTTGAGAAAGTGTATGCCCCCATTCCCACCCCATCTTACAGCCGAAAGATTGGGTCCCATTAAGTTGCTAGACGCTACTGTGATTCAGGAATTCACAATGAAAATTGGATTGAGCAACATTTTAGTATTCGGTCTTTGCTTTTCCACTGCATAATGAAGTTATTTTTGAGAGTTCATTGCCAAAGTGATGTGCCTTTTTTGGTTACCTCCCCCAACCCCTTATCCCCTTTTATTTCCAGAAGGCGCTTATTCATTTTTTTTTTTTTTTTTAAACCTTTGGCTTGCCCGGGTCAGGAGAAACGCTCCAGTTCTTGAAAGGTCATTGTCTCCAAAGGAGTTCCCATGAGTTGAGATGAATCTGAGATAAATCAGTGTCACTTTCGTACACCTGCATTTCTTGGGGATTTACAAACTGCATTAAGCACTTGCCTTCTTAAGTTTTGAGTGGATTCATTCCACTGCATTTCGTTGACTGGACTATGATGATAATTCTGTTTTAGTTCCCAAGTGGAACTAAAGTATCCTATCATTCATATTGAAACACAATGACCATGTCATTTCATGTTAATTTCAATTGTATCTCTTTGGCATCTGTTAAAAAGTTTTCTTTGAAAAATACTGCAAATGGTCTTTTGCTTTGTTTTCTATGAGAAGAAGGTGGAGAAGTGTTGCTTGGGTTTTCTGGTTTGTTTGGCTTTTCTTTATTTGAAATCCAGTGTTGTTTACCTGATGAAACCAAGGGAAAATATTCTTAAGTCAAAGGAATCCAGGGCTCAGAATCTTTGTGCTTAATTTTCCTTCCCTGGGTGGGTGTGGTGAAGGAGGTGGACAGGAGTTGGAAGTTATTAGGGAGTTACATAATACAAACATACTTGCCTACAAAATCGAGGGACCAGGGCACCAGTTGCTTTCCTTCCCTGGATTGATAACTTGTGATAATTCATGCTTTTGTTTTGGGATTTCTTAGAATTTAATTTGCTTCACTAAATGGAGACTGTATGTAGTATACATGGTCTTTCCTGGTCCTTTCCCTCTTAAGGACCGTGATGGGCGGTATTTTGCTATGTACTACCTTTGCTAGACGAGTCTCTACACACGGTTGGCATTCAGCTTTTGTTTGATTTGGGTGAAGCGATTTTTACCAGCTACTGAAACTTTGCACAGGAGAGACTCATTAATTCTTGGGCCTTGTACACAATGACAATTAGCTTGCACATCTGTGCTGAAGTTTAGGAGAATTTGCTAAGTCTTCTCTCTTTTTTTGAGATACGGTCTCGCTGGGTAGCCCAGGCTGGTCTTGAACTCACAGAGATCCACCTGGCTCCTGAGTGCTGGAATTAAAGGCCTAACTTTTCTCTCTCTCTTTTTGAGTTACCGCTTGCCTTGTAGTGTAGGTTGACTTTGAACTTAAGGCTTCCTTGCCTCAGTTTCTTTAGGACTAGATAACTGGTTTGTGTCACTTTCCTTCAGCTTTAAAACTCTTTAATTTGTTGATTTGTTCTTGAAGATAAATGGGGTTTGGATGGTACACTGCGGACTTCCAAAAAAAGATTGCAGTTTAGAAATCCATCCCTCACACTCCTCCTTGTTGAGACTATGGAACTGCTGAACAAATTCATTCATAGCTCTTCCCGTTCTTTTATTGTGAAATTGGGAGGGAGCACAGTTTAGAAGAAATTCACTTTTTGGAGTTCTGTGAATTTGAGTTCGGAGCCTTACTTTTTCTTTGTCTCGTTTTGAAGCCCTGAGCATCTCCCTTAACCTCTGAGTTTGTCTCCTTCCTTGTAAGGGGTAATAGTGACATTACATGTTCTTAAGGATGCTGGAAACAGTATAAGGGCTAGTAGTAACATTACATATTCTTAGGGATGCTGGAAACAGTATGAGGGGTAGTAGAGACATTACATGTTCTTAGGGATGCTGGAAACAGTATGAGGGGTAGTAGTGACATTACATGTTCTTAGGGATGCTGGAAACAGTATAAGGGACTTACAACACTGTCTGATACTGTGTAGGTGGCTAAAATGATAATTTTACACTTTACATGACTTTAAAAAGTATTTTTAAGATGTTTCTGGACAGATTATCAGTCGGTAAAGACACTTGCCACCAAGCCTGATGGCAAGTGTCTTTACCGACCAGTTCAGCTTCCCAGAACCCCACATAGTAGGAGGAGAGAACGAACTCCTGAAAGTTGTCCTCTGACCTCCACATTCACACTGTGACACTTAACACCCACGCTAAACTCACAAATGAACATAAAATTTTAAAAGATGTCATTTGAACAGAAGGATGATAGAAACTATACTGTTTCATCACCTGTTAGCCGCCTTCTGCGTGGGACTCCAGGTGGCTTGGTAGGAAAGAATTCTGTACAGCTGTGTAGTTTGGGAAACGACAAGAGATGGATTGTTTTCAGTACTAGCCATAGTATGTGTATCTTAGTCAGTGTTCTTTTGGCTGTGAAGAGACACCATGACCATGACAGCTCTTACAAAGGAAAGCATTTGATTGGGGCTGGCTTACAGTTTCAGAGGTTTAGATCATTGTCATCCTGGTGGGAAGCATGGCAGCATGTAGGTAGACATGATACTGGAGAAGCAGCTGGAAGTTCTACATCTGGATCCGCAGGCAACAGGAAAAGAGAGACTCTGGGTCTGGCTTTGGCTTCTGAAACCTCAAAGCTCCACCCCTAGTGACATCCTTCCTCCAGCAAGGCCACACCTCCTAAAACTCTTCAAATAGTCACTCCCTGGGGACCAAACATTCAAATCTACAAGCCTAGGGGGACCATTCTTATTTAAACCACCATAGTGTCTAAGTTAATGTCTCCTTTTTACGTTGGCCTTGAAAACAATATGTATGGCTTTATGATGTTTCTCAGGTTTGCTCAAGATAGAACTGGACTGGGTGTTAGCAGAATACACAGTTCAGAGACTTAAGCACGCCACTCACTTGCCTTTCCAAATGCCACTATTTACAGAAGGAAGCAGTGATTAAAGTCAGTTGTACCAACTTAGTTTAGAATGTTTAAAGTACCAAATGGAGTAGATATGTTTTAGAACTGTTTACCTGATCAAACTTAAAGATTGTGGGTATAAATATCCCTGACCAAGCTTCCTGGGCAAGCTTGGCCTTCAATGCTTCTCTTAAAGTTAACTCTTAAGTACACTCGAACAGTCTTGAGCTATAGTTATTACTGACAGGGATGAACATCCATATGGAAGTGATTGTCATTGTGTTTTCTGTTCTGCCTAGCTTACTATGTTGGGGGAGAGAGAAGGAAGCTGTTAGTAGGAAGAAGTTTATTCCATCATGTCCTCAAGTTTCTAGTTTCTAGTCCATCTTTGTGTCGATCAGGTCATTGTAAGCAGAACAAACCCGTTTTTTTTTTTTTTTTTTTTTTTTTTTTTTTTTTTTTTTTTTTTTTTTTTGTCAGGCTCTGCTGGGAGGTTGGACTGGCAGATCTGGTACTGAAATACTGTGATTGAATTCTGTCCCTGGCACTGGGGTGTTTTCCTTGTTTTACCCCTTCAGAGCTGTACCTTGGGACGTTTGTATGATGTGGATGGTAAGGGAGAGAAAGGGGAAGGGCGTGAGGCGTTTACTCTTGATGCCATGATGCAGGCTTCTTGTAGGAATTTTTATTTACTGATCATAAACCTGCTGTCCATCATAGAATTAGTGCCTGCCGCCCCAAATAATGAATTATTCTTGAAAGGTTAGCAGTTAATTATGGTGGCACACTCCAGTCAATTGGTCTTTTAACTTCAAGTGTCAACACAGGGGAAAGCCTTTCCGAGAAGTTAAAGATGGAGTTTTGCAGAACCCCAAGATGGTTCTCTCTTGTGATCTCTACTAAAAGCACATGGTGTGGAGCCGCATCCACACATCGCCATTTCTCGGCTGTCTGGTCTTGAGCAAGCCGCTTTATCTTTCTCAGACTTAGTGTCTTTGCTTATTACTCCCACTTTCACACACCCCCCCCCCCACTCTTATCCTGCCGGCTAAATGCTACTGCTGTGAGAAACATGTGCAGAAAGCACCATACTGTGTGGTGGTGCAGTTTCATTGATCAGCTCCTGGTGTGGATAAAATGTAAATCCTAGCTCTCCAGCGGAAACTGGCCGCTAGCTTTGCTGTGACTTCCCCCTGGAAAGCAGCTCAACTATCCGAAGACATCTACCCTTCCTCTTGCTTGGGAAAGCTGGCCTGTTTTCATTTTCTGTTTGCTG